ATTATTTGGCATAAAAATGCTTATGAACATACCTTAAGAACGACATGATGCACCATCATTTATGGCTTCTATGTTAACATCTGATATTACTGCATCCTCCAAAGCTTCATCAACATCCATATCGCCTGATACAAAAATAATAATTAACATATATATATATATATATATATATATATATATATATATATATATATATATATATATATATATATATATATATATATATATATATATATATATATATATATATATATATATATATATATATATATATATATATATATATATATATATATATATATATATATATATATATATATATATATATATATATATATATATATATATATATATATATATATATATATATATATATATATATATATATATATATATATATATATATATATATATATATATATATATATATATATATATATATATGTTAAAATTACTGCTTGCATACGTAGAACAATATCTGGTATACCTGTAGCAGATTGACTATTGTTGATACGTTGGTTAGGTGATGTGTAATTACGATCTGCGGGTTTAAATACATAAAATGAGAGATGACAAATAAACAATATTATAGAATGTACGATTATAATGTCTATATTGATCATCACCAACCAAGTGCAACATCATTAACATGTGTAATTCTACTTGGGTCAGCTTCATTGTCATGAGTTCCTTGAAAGTGTGATATTGGAGATCTCATATTTGTAAAATTTTGAAATGGAACTCTCCTTCGACTGTTCATAGTGCGAGATGTTTGAGCTTGTTTATCTTGCTCTTTCCGCCGCCTATGATTGTCACGCCGTATCAATAAATAATTTTCTCTTTGCTCGATGTTCATATTTTATCTCCTCTTCCTTTCACTTTCGACCCTTCTTGCCCTTTGTTGTTGACTTGATATCTGACGGGTATTATTTTCCATTTTGTTAATGTAACTACCAAACACATATCCAATTTATAAGCAACATAAATTCACTAATTATGTTGAAAAATATTGGTAAATATAGATGGGATTTAAAATAAATATATTAACTAGGCAATTACAACATTCCTAACTGATTACAAAAATTCTAACTGATTACAACAATCAAACCAATTTCATTCGGTCCAAACATGACTTCTCTCGCATCTTTGTTGGTCTTAACACAAACCCATCCACGCAGCCGATCAAGTCTCTCGATACTACGGATTTTTCCCCTTCACAATGTCTCCTTCTAACCACCGATTCAGCTCCCTCTTAAGTTGGTTGAAACTTTGTATGTTCCAAAACAGCATGTCCATTAGAGGCTTCTCTCTCGAATAGACGACTTTTCTCCACCGGCGACGATACATGTTATTAGTATAACAACGATATGAGATGAGATGTGGAAGTAAATGATCAGAACACCTCTATTTATAGAAAAAATTTTTCAGTTTCTAAGGAGACTCCAGATGAATTGGCGACTCCCTTATGTGTCTATAACCAAGGTGTCAATTGAATTGGAGACTGCATGAGGTGTCTCCAATCCAATTGGCGACACTCTTATGGCCTTAACAAAGAGTCTACAATTGTAATGACGCCATTGGATAATCAGAAATCTTAACTGGGTACTTTAAGAATTTTTTTTAAAAATAGAATATTTTGATTTTTTTTAAAAATAAATTATTTGAGTAAAATATTCTTTACTCACATTTTTATCTTTATGCCATACAAAAATACTATAGAGATTAATTTTGGAACAAGTGGTTGACAAATTAAGAATAAAATGGTTCTATGAACTAAACTTCAATGAAAGATATTTTGTTGGAACACAAATCATACTGAAAACCACAAATCAAGTTTGAAATTAGCTAAATTTGAAAGAAAACAAATTTACGCAGACTAGAATACCCCTGGCAAACTAGATTACTATTGTTTTTGGATGACCAAAGATCCGTGAAGAATGACCTAGTACACAAGCTTAATTCATTCAAGGTGCTATGAGACATTGAACAACAGATCGGCACAAGTGTACGTCTCTCTTCTCATCAGACATTGTTCTGCATCCAATGAGCAATCGTGTTTCACGTTATATAACTTGACGAAAGTTAACAACTTCTTATATATAAATGTAACTGTGATTCACATTTCGGTAGGATTTAATAGAGGTGGCAATTGAATTCATTAAAACAAAATTCATCTATCACATAAAAAATAAGTTAATAAATTGAATTAAATACATCTATGTATATGCATAGATAGATTTGATCCATCCAACATATTTTAAAATCCAATAGATTATTTTTTTAAAAATAGATTTTTTTAAAGAAAAGAATTGATTTTTTTCTAAAAAAAAATTTGAATTTTTTTTTCAAAAACAAATTGATTTTTTTTCTGAAAAAAAAACGGCTTTTTTCAAAAAAAAAATGATTTTTTCGTAAAAAAACTATTATTTTCCGAAATAAAAAATCAATTTTTTTTCAAAAAAAATTGATATTTTCCAAAAATTAAAATATCAATTTTTTTTTTTGAAAATACAAAAAATTCAATTTTTTTCATTAATATATTAAAAAACAATTTTTTTAAATACAAAAAATGAATTTTTCGAAAATAAAATAAAATTGATTTTTAAAAATAAAAAAATACATTTATTTTCCGAAATAAAAAATCAATTTTTTTTATTAAAAAACAATTTTTTCTCGAAAAAAATTGATATTTTCCAAAAATTAAAATATCAATTTTTTTCTTGAAAATACAAAAAATTCAATTTTTTTCATTAATATATTAAAAAACAATTTTTTTAAATACAAAAAATAAATTTTTCAAAAATAAAATAAAATTGATTTTTAAAAATAAAAAAATACATTTATTTTTCGAATTAAAAATATGTTAATGGATGGATTGGATGGATTTTATTCTTAATGGATGGATTGGATTGAATAATTTAAAAAAAAAAAATTAGTGAATTGTTAATGGACTAATGAATTATTTTAATCCATCTATTAACAATTCAATTCATATCCATCCAATCCATCCATTTTATCACCCCTAAGATTTAACTTATATTTGTAAAATTCTACATTAATCTCATCCTAAATTAGAGTCTATTTGGTAAGACATAAAAAAAATGAATTTTAAACTTAAAGTTTTTTACCTTTTCAACTCACATTAATAAAAAAAAAAACTCTATTTCGTAATTGTTTTTTACCTTTTAGTTTGTTGTTTTTTTACTAGCTTTTAGCTTTTTTTTCAACAACTATTTGAAATAATTTTTGAGCTTATAACTTTTAATTTATGGTTTTTTTTCTTCCATTTGTACCCTCCTTATTTTATCAAAAATTCATTTTTACCCATTATATTATTATGATTTAAATTAAAATAATTGTGTTTTAGTTGAAGAAATAAAAAAGGTTAGTCATTATTTTTACCGAGCAAATTCGCGATACAATCCATCTTCTATTTTGTTATTAATCAAATATTTTGACTCATTACATTGAATTGTTTTTTATTACTTTTAAGTTATTATTTTTATTATTTATAACTTCAATTTTTATTATTAATGTATTATTTTTATAAGCATATTTGTTTATGATCTGACCTGATCAGAAGGGGATCAATAGCTGACCACACTCTGTTGGGCTACTGCCTGTTCACCGGGGGTGAAGATGAGGAGGGGGGTGTACCTGCAAGACACTCTGATGCCAAAGTAAGGAGTCGCCATAGTCCAACTGTCTCGTGATCTCCGGAAAGTGGGTTTGACCTGCTCTTTCGGAGGTGGACAGTTGGTTGGTGACGTGTCCCCGCGGAGGGGAGCGCGTGGAGAACGTGTGCAGGACACATTGTCCTGCCCGACGGAGGAGCAGGTTCTGCCCGTGGCGAGGGCAGTGTTTGGTCGATGGGGAAGTCTTGTGCCCGACGCAACTGAGGCAGGTTCTGTCCGCGGAGGAACATTTCCTGGTCGTCGGGGATCCTGTGCCCGACGCTGCGGCTCAAGTTGGACTGGATTTGGCAGAAAATTATTGGGCTGGGTCAGCCTGGCCAAGCCGGGGCCCAGGCCAGAACAGTTTATAATGAATGATTGAATATATTTGTTTATTAATAGACATATCATGGATTTTGAGAAAGAAAAAAAAAAGAAGAAAATATGCACTTTATCAAAATATAAGATCAAATTATAATATTATTATTTTTGTATTATATTATATTTAAAATATTTTGTATTTGATTGTTAATACATTTATTTTTGTTGAATAAAAATTAATTTAATAAATAAGACTATTAATTTTTAATTAAAATATTTTTTATGATATTTTATATTTACAGTTAATATAACTAATAATTTATCAAACATTCAAATTAATATTATAATTATAATTATAAGAATACATATCCCTTATGCGTTCACCAAATAACTCCCAAAAGTACCTTGTTAAAGAGAGAATATACATCTCTCAAGTAGTAAATTTAACATAATCATAAACTAATGACGTGTCACCATAATTTTAAAAAAATCATTTCAAAATATCATACTGTGTCACCACGACTTAGTCAAATTTAAAATGATTCCATACATACACCAAAATTCATACTTGATAATGATACAAAATCATCAAAACCTTAAACAAAATAAAGTTACACACATAACATCTTTCACCTAAAACCGGATATCCTTCTATACTCTATCTAGTCAACGTTAGTTTGAACTAAATGACAATTTTTTGTACTTATCATCTAATGAAAAATGATTACTACCTTATTACAATTATTCATTTTTGGCTCTAATTTCAAAGTAAAAGAAATTGCAATAAACATATGGTGGTGATTACATATTCACTTATTATATCCATTTACTTGTTTCAAACCAAAAACTATGAACACATAAAATTGGATATACAAACTCAAACCGTTCACACTAGAACACAAATTTCATACTTTAATATCATTAAAAGAAAAACTTCATATTTTAATTTATAGGTATATATGATATTATTTCTAAACTTAATATATAGGTACAGAAAATGGAAGATTAGTGTGATTTCCAAGGTAAACATTTCAAGTTCTTGCAAGATTCTGTCCAAGTACTTGTACATGCACCACCAATTTCATCACAGCATTTGCAAACAACTCCAAGTGTTGCAAAAATCTTTGAGTACCCTGCAATTATAGATCAGAAAAAGAGAAAAAATAAGAACATAGTAAATAAATAAATAAAATCAGCAAACTAATAAATCAGATCCTGTGGAAGAAAACGGACAAAAATTGCAAAATTAATATTCTAAATATTACTATAAACTACCTTGATTTGAGATTAAGGAAAGTGTCCTTGCTTCTATAAGTGATGGTTTATGAGAAACTGAAACAAGCATGATGATTAGCAACATGAGAAGATGAGGCTTCATATTGGATAGGTTGATCTATAATTTTGTGGTGATTTTGATGAGCTTATGAAACCTCAGAGTTAGAGGTTCAAGCTATGGAGAAGTGATGAGTTTGGAGATTTAAAAAGATTCTAAACTTGCAGGATAGGGATGCTGCCTGGAAAGTATGTAGCCACATGATTGATGTTTTTATATTATTAATGGTGAAAGCGATATGCATAGATTTGTACTTTAGTGTTTTTTCTTAATGTGTCTCTAGAAGAAAAACTTGGATTATGTATTTACTCACTATTATATTTTTTTAATAATATTGTTGATTTATGAATATTAAAGAATTTATAAATATTTTTAATAATATTGTTAATTGATATATATATATACTGTTAATCACAGTTATTGATTTGTTAAAAAAATTTAATTTTAATTTTAATCACTTATAAAATAATACTATCAGATAATTGTGATATATTTACATAGTAAACTTTTTACATGGACAGTATATACAATTAATTTCGATAATTTATATTTATTTACCTCAATTGTGTTGAAACATTTCGCCTATTCGTTTATTTCTCTAATATATAAAAACTTTTGAAGATTTGTTTGTCTATATGAAAAAATTAAATGTTTTATTGTTTCAATAATTTTTATATTTTTATAAAAAAATATTATTTTTAAATAAATAATCTTTTTATAATTAAAGTGATAATAATAATTATTTTCAATTATCTCCAAGATTTAAATTTTATATTTTAAAGCAAATCGTACATTCACAATGCATCAAAATTAATTTAAAATAATTAAAAATATTACAAAAATAAATAAAATTATTAATTTATAAATATCAAAATAATTTATCTATATTAATACATAAATATAAATTAATAGTGCCGCTGTGGGTTAAACTCTAAATCAACCGTTTATATCAATTCAACTCAACTAAAACATACTAGTTGATGTATATTCCACTTACTTTTTATAAATTTCTTAAGGGTAATGCTAACTTGTGCCCCAAGGACACAAGTTAAGAAACTCATTTATAGTAAATTTCTATTGTAAAAAATAATTTAAAAATTAATTTTATACTTTAATTAAAGTTTGTACACAATTTTCAAGATAATATTTCTTAATTTAATTCTTAACTTGTGCCCCAAGGGCACAAGTTAGCATTACCCATTTCTTAAAAAATGAATCAGAGAATATAAGTTTATCGCAAAATTTAACTACATGACTAATCATATATTTTTGTTGATGATGACAATATTAAGAATCTTGGGAAGAGTTGGTGGAAGCTTGAATAAGGAAAGATTAAGTGGTATTGGTATTGTTGATGGAGGGTTTTTGACTTTTATAGTGATATTCAGTAGGTAGTCATGTTTCATAAAATAGGTACCAACTATATGATTGTTTCTTCCACAATGTGTGTAATACGTTGCAAATTGTTAAATATGTAATTCATTGTATTAAAAGATTATATTAAATTTAGAAAGATCAGATTTGATTTAAAAAGATTAGATTAGATATTTTTGACCTTTTATAGTTTGGGCTTTACCTTGAGATGCAAGTTAACCTAAATCTATAAATAAGGAGAAACCATTTTTCATTGTAATCATCAAGTTTGATAATCACGGTTTTGCAGTTGCAAAGTGATAATAAAATTCCACAGTTGTGGGCAGAGAGTTACTCTGCAGTTCATACTCATCTTCTTTAAACATGTTCTTGTTTTTTGTTCATTGTCATTACATAACAATCTTGAGATCAAGATTGAATAGGAATTCTTCATAGGTTGTGGTTAAGTTCCAACATCTGGTATCTATAGCTCCGGTTGCGATTCAAGGAAGCAAAACTGTGATGGCGATGAATCATCCAAACGGGCACTTTCCAGCAAACCTTCTATTCTCAAGAAAGATAATTATGAGAATTGGTGCAAGCAGATTAAGGTGGTTTTCTGTTATCAAGATCTTTGGTTTCTTGTGAAGGAAGGGGTAACACCGCTTACAGAAAACGCGACAGATCAAACTATGCCAAAAAAGACCTTTAGCAGCGCTTTTTTTGGCCTTTAGCAGCGCTTTAAAGCGCTGCCAAAAGTGGCACTGCTAAAGGTAAAGGCAGCGCTTTTTTTCAATGAAAAAGCGCTGCTAAAAGCTCCCTTCAGCAGCACCTTTAGCAACGCTTTTTTAGCCCTTTAGCAGTGCTTTTGTAAGCGCTGCATAATTCCCCCAACCATCCCCCCCCTTTAGCAGCGCTTTCAAAAAGCGCTGTCTTAGACCCCCCTTTAGCAGCGCTTTTGCAAAAGCGCTGCCATAGCCTACCCTTTAGAAGCGCTTTTTACAAGTGCTGCCTTAGACCCCCCCCCCCCCCTTCCAAACCAATAGCAGCGCTTTTGTAGCGTAATATTTGTGACCTTTAGCAGCGCTGTCTAATGTCCCAGTTTTTAAAAAAAAATTTAAAAAAAATATTCACACTGTTTTGTATATTTTACCAACAACCTGCTTATAATTCAGGCCTTTATTTCAACACTTTGGCCTTATAAATAAAATTCAAACTTTGGCCTTAAATATACAATTCAAATTTTGGCCTTATATGTACAATTCAAAACTTTGGATACATTGTAACTCATGACTTTGACATAAACATTTTAATATACACATAAACCTGTTTAAATATGTTACAACAAAATTTGATCCTCAGAATTACAACAACACAAATACATTCAATTCACATATAATTACAAGTCTTCCAATCCGATAACTCTATACAATTCTCAACCCAAGAATAAATTGACACCATTCCTCTTTAATTTCTTCCAATTTTGCTTTCGTGTAAGTAGCGCACTTGAATTCATCATAATACTACATAACATAAAAGATCGAATAAGATTTAAGTTTAAAACTAATTACTCAGATGAAGTATCGGATAATTATCAAAATGAATCATATAACTTATATAATGAATTGATACATACCAGGACTGGAATCTCAAGTTGACTAGAAAGAATAATTTCCTTCATAAAGTGCAATACAAAATATCCACAGTCAATACCATTGCGCTGCCGAGGACACTGTAAATGGAAAAAGCAAATGAACATTTATCCGGATATATAGTTTAAATAGTTTTATCAAGTAGAAACATGCGAGAATATACCTCCACTCTGATCCAGTTGATGTTGTTAGCCTTACTTTTTGGCACCGTTGCATCTCTTTATGCTCTGAATATTTGTATAACTCTAACATAATATAAACGCATATTTAGAACAATGTCACATAATAAATAAAGATATATAATTAAAGACAACAGTATATGTCATCACTTACGTATCAACAAAGTTCCTCAGATTTTCATATTTTGTTGTATCGCCATCCAATGAATCTATATAATACACTATTTCTTTCATCGGATTAATTGCGATCAACAACCAATGTCCACTATAAAATAAGACAACAGTTTAGACGGAAATGTTATATATATAGAAAGGGAAAAATCGAACAATTATAATAAATGAATTTAGAATAAAATCTAACCCATGGCCAGTGTTATATGGCAACAAGAACAACTTCTCTGTAGTCGCGCGCATAAATCTCTGCACTGTGTACTCTTTGACTGTATCTGGTGACTGGTCTATTATACGTGAGTTGACACAGCTAGCAGATAAGAATGCGAATACTGAAGTCAATTCATTCGGGACCAATAACTTGTCATACAAGAACCTAAAAAAACATAATAAACATTAGAATATTAAGTTAAACGAGCAAATTTTAAAATGTTCAATTATTTAATTAAAATGGATCGAAGTACCTGATGTATGAATGCATAACACCGACGCCCAATTCAGAATGGTTGAAAACCTGATCAAAATCCTCCTTAGCAATTGTTTCGGGATATTCAAAACCGAAAATACCTGCCTCCATATGTATTTGACGGACGCCACCCTCAGGCACATCTGATGTTCCGACATATGTTTCAAGGCACATCCTAAATCGAGGAACAATTGCTTTTCTGGGAACCTTGGAAGTTTCAGGCATCTTACCCTTGCTGACTTGTTGCGACTGCTGATCATGAACCTAAAAGTCATATATAAGTTCAGTAATTAATATTGTATAACAAGATAGTCATGTAACTGTAGTAGTACCTGTTTCTTTGATGCAGCTGAATCGATATCCCGCACAATAACTCTATCATCTTTTGATTTGGATTTTGTAGGAGTCTAAGATCATCATGTAAATAAGAAAATGTAGATGTAAGAATAACTTTCATGCATGAATCATAAAACATTTGAGTATTAAAAGGTTCAACCTACCTCATCATCTATGCAAATCAGATTTGCCGGCCATGCTACATACGATCCTACTGCGTCTCCCACCACTGTTGCGCCTGAAATATCATCTGGTATAGGCAACAACGCACTCCCCTCTAATGCAATATCAATAGATACTTTCAAAAATCCAGAAGGGAGCGGTTTGTGGTGAAGTAAGTCTCCCAGTAAGTTATGTACCTTTCCCTTGCCAACCATTCGATGAGTAGGTGACGATAAATATAGCCGGCAAAGTGAAACGGCCTAAACAAATAATGATCAGTTAATGTGTCAATTAAGTAAAGTGTGCTAAATTAATTTCAATGTAATATATATAATTACCTCTGGAAGCTTCTGCGGACAACTGGTACTATCTTTGTCACTAGTAGCTCTACCCTCTGGAGCGCGTCTTTCCGCCATGTATCTCTCCTTATCCTTCTGTAATTCACGGATTTGCGCTTTCAATTCCTCCAAAGTCTCCATCACTTCTTTATTGGTTGGATTTTTTTTCTTTGGTTGCTTATACAGTTTGGATGGAGTGACACCAAATCCCTTACCCCTCACACGCCCAGAATACTCAGGAATATTCAGCACTCGGCTCAGTAAGCTCCTACAATCATTGTCCTCGGCGGGAGTTATGGTCTGGGACAGAGTCTCCTGAAATATAGATAAAAACATATATAAATATATTACACACTTTTGATCAGTTACTGACAAAGATAACGTTGTA